ACATGCCGCGTAGCAACAGTCAGCTCCAGTCAAAAAAATGAGCCGGACCCATACAAAAAAATTATCAGGTTGACTTACAAATCACAAGTTTAAAAAGAAAGGAGGGTAGAGATGCACTTAATAGAGTAACTGGATCAGAGATGCATAAGCTTTCTTGAGCAAGAACTCACTTCATCAGATGCAAAGTTTGAAAAGAAAACTCTTAGGTTATTTTCATTGGTCTTTGGATTTTGTGTGAACCCTTGTCATGTGAATTGAAAGGTGTAACAAGGCAGCCACATGCCTCAGACAACAGGACATATGGGGACCTTATGGTTGTTGTCATGCCACTGGTGTGGATGGCAGCTGATATTTTTCTGCCCTCCCCCCCCCACTTCCCTCCTGCAAGCCTGGGGCAGCTGCCTGAGTCATCCCGCTCCAGTTATGCTACTGTTTGAAGTCATCTGCAACCCATGGAAGCTAGAAACTGAAAAAAAACATTCTCACGTAATCATGGGGCTCTGGTCAAACTGATTAGCAGCTGTCAATCAGGGCTTCCATTGGCAGCACCCAATTTGATGGCTGCTGTGAGCATGAATGTCTAGTAAAGGGAAGGTCCTGATACAGAGCATTTGCAATGAGCCCCAAAGAACTAAAACTTGCCCCTCATCCTCCTGCATCTACTGAGAGGACAGCATGATTGTGCTGGGCACCGTGGCTGCTTCCTGACTCAGAGGCAGGAGAGCCGTGTTCACATAAGGTTGTGCTCAGCCAGCTAATTGCTATACCTCTTAGCACAGATAATGAGCCTCTCTGAAACGCCACAGTAACTAGAACCAGAAGTGATGCAAGCTACTTTCCATCCTGGAGGCCTGTGGAGCAGCCAGGACCATGTCCCAGATTTGATCCCTGGAAGATGGTTGCTTTAACAAAAATGGGCTGAAGCTGCAGAAGGGAAAATAAAATACTAACAGGTTAAACCTGATGAAAATAGGAAAAGTAAAACAAAGGAACAAGTTACCAAGAAAAGCCAGGGAAACCCCAGCCCGGGAAACACCCCCTGCTGAGTCTGAGAGGTTCCCTGTGCCAGAAGGGTTAGAGACAGCAGAATCAGTCCTGCCACAAAGCTGGGAGGTAGATTTGAATGTTATCAGCCCAATCGCCAGTGCTTACAGAGTTGGGAACCCCAATACAGTGCTGCAGGGAAGCAGATGGGCTTCTCAAGGCCTGTTGGGGACCCACCTTTAACCTAGCGTCATACACACAGGTTGCTTTGCAGTCTGACTGCAATGGCTGTTGGGATGCCAGTGCTGCCAAACAGCTTACAATTTTAGCCTTTATGTTCTGGCTGAGTGATCTTCAGGTAGTTACCAAGCTGCTGTATCTTCCCACATACAGCATGCCCCAGAATACAATGCACACCTTGCTTTTGAAAGGCAGAATGAAGAAAAAAAGATTTTCTATATTGTAGCCTTGCTAATTGCCCCATGTTCCCTCTGTTCTCTCTTCTGTGTTATTAAGTCTTTCTTCACTTCCATAGCTGAAGGCACCTGTTCAACTTTTGCCATTTGTGTTCTAATCAGCATTTCTCACACTGCAGTTCAGATTGGCACAAGAAACTCTTCAAGGGTAGAAGGACCAAAGAGAGGAGGAGAGAGCTGAGACAGGTGTCAACAATACATATTGTGCTTTTATCTAGAGATCTCAAATACAGGGGAGAGTCACTGCAATAACAACTGAGGAAATTGGCACAAAGGTATATCTTGCCCCAAGTCACCTAACAGGCAAACTAGGACTGGAACTCAAATTTCTGGATTCCCAATCCAAAGTAAACACATAGGTGGCTATATGTTAACTCCTCAGCAATCGCTTCCATCTGAGATTCAGCTTTGGTCAATATTTTAGAAATGCTGACAGCAACTTCAACTCAAATCTCATTTTGTTTATGACAATTCAGTCTCTTTTACTCCCAGCTTTGCCATTCACTGCTAAGCTGCCATGCAGAGAAAATCCTTCAGAGGGTTTCAGAGTCAAGCCACTCTGAATTCTGGTTTTAATTAGTTTTACAGAGTCTCCTTGCTGGTTTTTAGTTGTAAATCCACAACTAAAGCAGCTCTGAGACCATACCTGCAAAATCTAGCAGAGTGCATAAAAGAATTGGGACCCAAGTGAGCAGGCACTGGACTGGAAGCCAGGAGACTGAGACTTTTACTGACCCCTTGGATAGGCTGCCTCTCTCTGCGTTTAATTTCCTACTCCCCACTCTGTGGCTGATTAGACTGGACTCGCTCTCATAGGATGCATTTACATCCTATGCACAATAAGGCTCTGATCTAGGTCAGAGTCTTTAACTGCTACCAATATATGAACAGCAATAAGCAACCACTGAGCCAAGCAATGCAATGTCACCCAGATGAAAGGGACATTTCGTTATTATGCACCAGAATTCAATGCTAGCTTAGACTGTCTAAATTTTAAACGGAAATACAAAACAACACTTAATTTACCAAAAAAACCCCAAAACTCCAGCGATAATTATAGTTTGAACAACTATGTTTAACTGCCCCTTGTTTGGGTGGCAGAAAGATAAACTTCCCTGATGGTTGAGATCTCTGCTTAAATGGTTGTACACTTGTGAGACGACAGGGGGGATAGAAAGCCTCAGCTCTTTCAGAATGATATTTTCCTTGGTCTCACAATGCAAATGCATTGACCTTCCTGTACCAAAGGCAGACCCCCCTGGCAACCCAGGAACAGGGACTAGCATCAAACTTAGAAAATGTGTGTCCTACCCACAGGTGAGCCTTACTGCAGCCTTCCATCTGGAAGCGCTACTGGATGGGACCGTGCCTTGGTGGAATCTGTCCACAGAGCTCTAGGGATCCCTCCTGGTTTTTTTACTAGAAGATGAATAACTTCAGGACCCAGTAGCCCAGATCATCTGCTGCTTTGCTGGGAAGCCTAATTACCAACTGGAACCAGTAGGGAGCACGTCAAGGATTGTTCAGGGCCTAGCTACGTGGAGCACGGACACCTTCACAGCTGCTAGCAAGGGAATGCCCCACACAGAGACAGGGTATATTCCAGTGTTGCAGCAATGTAGTCTCTTGGCACAGAGTACTTGATGTCAGGCAGTGGGGGTGAGGCATGATCAGGGAGAAAGGGCACCAGCTGAGGGGAGGGATCAAGGGGTCTGCCTAGACAGGGTGAAAAGATTTTGGAGAGAGTCAGTTAACATGCCTGCCTTCGATACCTAACACCATGGCTTTGATGGTCATGCTGACTGGCAGCCTTGGCACCATGGCTCCTTATGAAAGCCTTGGTACCAGCACCTCCTTGTTTGCTAACCAGCGTCCTGGACTGCTGACAGGCAGTTAGTTAAAGGCACAATGGGATATGATCCCCAAATGGGATCTGCTCCCTCACCCCAACAATCGTGTCTCCTGCCATGCCACATGTGCACGGCAGGAGGTGTGATCGTGGAAGCAGGGATTGGATTGCAAGCTCCTTGTGCCCTCCTGGCTGGTGCAGGGGGAGCTGGGATCATGATTATGATCCTGGGGTCCTCTGCACCACAAGTAGCAAGCCAGACACTTGATGTGTTGGTCAGCTGACCAAGTGCTCCCAGCCTTGGGAGTGCATGGGGGCCTTTCAGGGCTCCAGTGTGCTCCTGTGGCTGGGACTGTGGATCAAGTAACTCTTCTTCCTCAGGCTGGGAGCACACCAGCCACACCTTCAATTAAGGCACAATGGAAACCAACCACAAAATTATTATGCCTATTGTTACTTATTACCTGCTTTATTGCATGAAAGTGTGGCCAGAGTTACTACTTAAGACAACGTGAATGGTATTGCAAAGGGAAAAGTTGGGCCTTCATTTCCATGCCTCACTCTTGGATGAGTCAGGTTGGTAAGATGAATATCCTCCTGTCATTTCCATGGAGCCTGCTCTTATTCAGCAGCTGCTGGATTCTCCCGGTGCTGACTGCACACTGTCTCGTTGTTGGGGCAGCAATCAGCAATCAGCAGGAGCCAGGGGAAAGCAAGAAAGGGCCAGTCACTTGCTCTGGCACTTCCCTTCTACTATCATGGCTCCTGTCTGCCCAGCATGCAGACTAAGGGCAATCCTGCCTTGTCCACTCAGCTCAGGTAGCAGGGCTCTGCGGGGCCGCAGAGGTGCCCCTCTGAGGTGCGCTGTGTACCTCTCAAAACCTGAACGCTGTCCAGGGTAGGCAAGGAGAACAGCACCAGCACATCCACCTTGTTGGCCTTTCCCCACTACAACTTCCAGAGGGGGTTGACTTTTTTTTAATTTGAATTAAAATTTGTCTGTCTTTTTAAATCAGCAGAGCTTTTACTTTTACTCAGTTCACTCACACACTTGTATATATACATGTACATGCCAACCACACATGTTGCTAACCCAGGAATCTTTAACAGAGTTTTAGACACAAATCTGTAGGACACAGAGGCTGAACTGAACTCAAATGGAAATTGCCGGCATTAAACAGGTCTCCCAACCCCTTGTCTGTTTTCTGAACCATGAGACTATCCTTTTTCTCTGGCAGGCACCGTGCTACTGAGGCAGGGTTTCAGACAAGGGGGATCTGTTTCCCCTATTCCTTCCATGGGGAATATTTGGGCTGTTGCATGTCACAGGTTATAAACTAGGGAAAATAAAAACACCTTAGTGCTCGGTTCTTTTCCTGCTTGCACTCATCTGATATCAGTGCAAGTGCACAGACATCAGTGGAGCAACTCTTGATTTCCACTTGCCTTGGAGCGGGGAGAAGCTGGCCCTTCATAAAGCCCTTGGCTCATATCTAAAAGGAAGTGTTATGGAAGTGTCCAGCCCTGAGCTGGAAGAAAGGTGGAGGGAGCCAGCACTGTGTAAGGGGGAGGCTGCTCCTTTAAGAAATCCAAAACAGAGGTCTGGACGGTTCCTGTTATTTTATCCCTCTGGCAGCTGGACCCTCTCCCCACCCCTCGCTCCAATTCCCAGCTGTATAAATAAAACATCCGGCAAACTCTGCTGTTGTCCGCACACAGGAGCGACCAGCAGGCAGCTCTGCTTTTAGAGGCACTACACCAAAGGGGTCCCGGCTGCAGGGCTTAAAGGGACAGCATCTGCAGGAGAGATGCTTGTGGCTTGGCTGCTGCTCTCCTTGAGCCTGCTGCAGGGTGCCCTGGGGAGCACAGTCCACCTCCGGAGAGCCAACGACAGGCACGGTAGATGTACCTACTCATTTACCATCCCCAGCCCACATGAGGCCAGCTGTCCAGGGTCTGACCAGGCCATGCCAGCCATACTGGACCTGCAGAGGGAGAGCAACATGCAGCGCTCAGAGCTGGAATCTGCCAAGGCAAGGCTCAGTCTCCTGGAGAGCCTGGTGACCCAGAGTCATGCTGTGGAGGGCTCCTCTGCTCCCACTGTGGAGTCACTGCAGAGAGAGCTGGCCAGCCTGAGGATGGAGACCACCCAGCAAAAGTCCCAAGCCAGCAGGATGGAGACTGCCTATAGAGACCTCCTGAGGAACAGATCTTCCCTGGAGGAGGAGAAGTGGCATCTGGAGCGAGAGAAGGAAGAACTAGAAAGCAGGCTGGAGAGCAGCAGCCAGGAGATAGCTCAGCTGAGGGCCAACCAGTGTCCCCAAGTTAGGGACACACCTGTTCAAGTTCCCCTGCAAAGGTCCAAAAAAGGTAAGGCCTTCGGGTGAGTGTGTGGGTGTGTGTGTGTAAATTAATCCCCCCTGGGCAGACCTTCTGCTCTTCCTCAGCCTCACACCTAGGCTATCTCCTGCTGCTACCTAAGCACTAGAACAACATGAACTTGCCCAGTCATGCAGCAAATGAACAGGTCATGTAGTTGCTGCTTTTGATCTGCTGTGAGGTCTTGCTTTCTTCAGTCCCATGTCATTGTTCCTTGCAGGTGTGGTACTAGACTCCCCTCCTTTGCTGGCATGCCGGACATTCCTCCACAGCATGTTGTTTGTAACAGAAAAAAGATGGGTTTTTTGAGGCTGAGGCATAAAACTGGTGTTAAGAGTCTTGACTTCGATTCCCAGCTCTGTTACAGCTTTCCCTGTGGACATGGGCAAGTCACCTAATATTGCTCCCTCCTTCTTGTGTTTTGTCTACCTAGATTGGTGCAAAGTCTCTCCGTGCCCTTGTGTGTGTTTGTGTATGAATGTGCACAGTAACTAGACAGACATTGTTAGCTGTGTTAGTTTGAAGTCAAGTAGAAGGCAAGGTAGATTTGTACCTTACAGACTAACCAAAGTGGGCTGAAGCTACAGCACAGCCATATATATATAGCACAAGCTCACTTCAGCCCATGAAAGCTTATGCTATATATATATATATATATATATATATATATATA